CCCAAGAGCAACAGAGCCAATCAGCAGCCCAAACTGAGATGCAGAATAACGCTTTCTCTTTGTGAGCTTATTATCTTGGGTATTTGTTGTAGCAGCAGAAAGCTGGCCAACTGTTAGTTTGTCAACTTGACCCAAGCTAAAGTCATCTGGGAAGAGGAAACTTCAAGTGAGAAAATGCCTCCATCAGATTGTTCTGTGGGCAAGTCTGTGGGGGCATTCCTCTTGATTTATGATTGATGTAGGATGTCCCAGCCCACTGTGGGTGGTGCCAGCTCTGGGAAGGTGATCCTGTGTTGTACTAAAAAGCAAGCCCAGAAAATCATGTGTCTTATTAGTTAGAGTTTTATTGCTATGAATAGACATCATGACCACAGCAACTCTTATAAAGGAAAGCATTTAATTGTGGCTGGCTTACAGTTTCAGAGGTTTAGTCCATTATCAGCATGGCAGGCAGACATGGTGCTGGAGAAGGAGCTGAGAGTTCTACATCTGGATCTGCAGGCAGCAGGAAGAGAGTGACACTGGGCCTGGCTTGAGCTTCTGAGACCTCAAAGCCCTCCTCCTCTGACAGTGTTCCTCCAACAAGGCCACACCTCCAATAATCCCTAGGAGTCTATGGGGGCCATTTTCATTCAAACCACCACACCATGAGAAGCAAAGCAGTAAGCAGTGTTCTTCCGTGGCCTCTGCTTCTGTTCCTACCTCCAGGTTCCTGCCCTGCCCTTCCTCATGATGGACTGCGACTGGGATGTGTAGCTGAATAAACCCTTTTCTCTCCATATTGCTCTTGGTCAAAACTTTTATTAGAGCACAGAAAGCAAACTAGCGCACACGTGAATGATGTGCTTCCCCTGTCCAGTTCATTCATCCTAGCTCTGGCTGTTCCTCCACAGAGGGTCTTGGCCCCTCAGTAATAACAACTTGAAATTGTTCATCAATAAAAAGACCCTTGAGGAGAAAATAGTTCTGTATGTAGCAGACAATTCATGGAATAGACTTTGTCTTAGTCAATGTTCTATTGCTGTGAAGAGACACTATGACCATGACAACTCTTATAAAGGAAAACATTTAATTGGGGCTGGCTTGCAGTTTCAGAGGTTTAGTCTATTATCATCATGGTAGGAAGCATGGCAGTGTGCAGGCAGACATGGTGCTGGAGAGG